GCCATCCTGCACCCCCCAAGGGCCAAAAGCAACCCCAGTCCCGAGCATCCCGTGGTACCCAGAGCATCCCCTGGTGCCAGGAGCATCCTGTAGTACCCAGACCACCACGCAGAGCCCAGGACAGCACCCATGCACTGCCCAGCCCAGGGTGCTACAGCACCCGGATGGGACCTGCTGTAGGAGCCTTGCCGTGGGGTCCGGCCTCACCCGGCAGCCCCGACATGGACCACTGTGCTCCCCCGCACCCGGGGCAGCTGAGACCGTGGGCAGGGGGGTGCAGGGGGCTGGGGTGGGCGTCTCTGCCCCAGCCTTCTCTGCGTGGGGCGGCCGTGGCAGCACAGGGCCCGGCCCCGAGCACTAATATGCTGTTAAAGCCTAGAAGAGATTTTGATGCCCTTCAGTATAAACTCATTAACTTTTATGTTCTAATAAATGGATCCTATTAGAAAATAATTCTGGCCTTGCTGGGGGGCAAGTGAACCTTTTGGAGCCAGTGCGGTCAGGTGCTCGCCTCCCTGCCGTGCTGCCATGCCCAGGGCATAGTCACCATCCCGGGGTGCTGGGGACACAGGGGGGGTGGCAGGGTGGTGGGGATGCCCAGCAGCACCCAGCAGCTCCCCCTACACCGCTCACCCAAGCTAATGTCTCTTAATAGTCCCTTAAAAGTTGCAGTCGCAGAGTAATTAATCTTCACGGGGCCCTGCCCTGCTACGGATCGGTATAATTACCCAGTAATTGGCAGTATCGTGTCATCAGCGCCTGTGCATGGCGGCGAGATGTGCCCACACGCTATCACGGCCTCGCGCCCCGCACCGGGCCACGGAGGGATGCTGGGTGCCACCGTGGCATCCCTGTCGCCGAAGCATCCCCCCTGCCATGGTACGGTGGGGCTGGAGAGCTGAGCCCCCTGAGGAAGGAGACCATCCAGAGCCGGATCCGGCAGGGAGAAGTGCTGGGTGGCTCATTAGGGCTGATTAATTTGTTTATTTTTTGGTCTAAAGGCTGTAAATGGCTGGACTGGCCACGCCAGGGATTTGCTCAGTGGCTAATGCACGGGAGGGCCAGGGGGCTGTGGCGGGGGGGTCCCCGTGGCTGCGGGTGGGAGATGGGGTGCGTCGGAGGGGAAGGGGTCCCCAGCAGATTGACATTGTCCGGGGACAGCCTGGCTGGCAGGTGGATGGAGAGAAGCTGAGCTCTCGCAGACTCGTTGCACTGGTGGCCCGGAGCTGGGTCCTAGCGTTTGGGCTCCGGTGGCACCCCCGGTGCAGCCGGTCACGGCAGCCACGGCAATCACCTGCACGTCCGCACCGCAGGGATGTGGGGTCCCGGGGGACCCTCAGCGCAGGATGGCCACCTTCATGGAGAGGGACAAGCTGTGACCAGGAACAGCCAACCCCAGGGCTGTCCCCACCAGGGCTGGGTCATGGCAGGGGTGGGCACCCTTAACGTCGTACAAGCTGCAGCTGAGTGTTAATTAGCACTTAATTGCCTGGGCTTCCCCGGTGAAGGGCATAGGACAGCGAGGCAGGGCAGGGCCCCACCGCACCTGGCTGATGTGCTTGTTCGCCGTCCTGGCTGTGGTGCAGCATTGGTCCGCAGGGAAGCGTCAGTCCTTGGAGCAGCACTGGCTCGTGGTGCAGCATCGGTCCCTGGTGCAGCATCGGTCCCTGGTGCAGGATCAGTCCCCGGTGCAGCACAGGTCTGTGGCACTGCACCAGCATCGCTCCCCAGTGCAGCATCAGTCCCCGGCGCTGCATCCATCCCTGGCGCAGCATCAGTCCACGGCCAAGGGTTGGTCCCTGGTGCAGCCTTGGTCCCAGGTGCCACATCGGTCCATGGTGCAGCACTGGTCCGTGATGAAGCATCGGTCCCTGGTGCAGCATCGGTCCCTGGTGCAGGATCAGTCCCTGGTGCAGCACAGGTCTGTGGCACTGCACCAGCATCGCTCCCCAGTGCAGCATCAGTCCCCGGCGCTGCATCCATCCCTGGCGCAGCATCAGTCCACGGCCAAGGGTTGGTCCCTGCTGCAGCCTTGGTCCCAGGTGCCACATTGGTCCATGGTGCAGCACTGGTCCGTGATGAAGCATCGGTCCCTGGTGCAGCACCAGTCCCCAGTACCGCATCAGTCCATGATGCAGCATCGGTCCATGGTGCAGCACTGGTCTAGTATGAAGCGTTGGTCCCTGGTGCAGCATCAGTCTATGATGCAGCATCAATCCACGGGTCCCCAGCATCCCATGCTCTCTCCTCCTTCTAGGTTTCAACGGGCTGGCAAGCAAGGCCAGGGAGAGCTCTGAGGCCGAGGGGGAGCCGACAGCGTTGCCCACGCTGGCGGAGAGGGAGGCGGAGGCTCGTTTCGTGAGCACGGCGCCCACGCTGAAGCTCCTCAACCACCACCCACTGCTGGAGGACCTGCTGCACGAAGCCTTCCTGAAGAAGGACTACCTGGGCCAGGCACCATTCCTGCCCGCCGGCCCCGGTCCCCTCCTGCCCGCTGGTGCCCTCCAGCCGGCCCCTGGCCCCCCGGCCCCTGAGCGGGTGCCGGGTGCCGACCCCTCGTGGTTGGGGTGCCGGGTGCCAGAGTCGGGCCCCCCAGCCAGGC